AGCTTATGCAATCTCTTTCTTAATTTATATCAGGCGTTCCTTATTCAGGCAGATTTCTGCTCCGGAGATACGACGATGGGCAAATTTCGGATCAGTCAGTTAGCGCGAACTCAGCGCCAAGCCTGCAACTTTCACGTTGCAGTTTTGCGAGAAGATGCCTCGGCTCAACTCCACTGTGCGCGATATAGATAGGTTGTTTTTTTATACATAAAAAAAGAACATATATTAAACCGATTTTTTTGCTTATTTTTGCCGTCATGTTTTTTTTTGGGTAATACTCGTTGTTACCCCTGCTTGCATTTCTGCTCCATCTCCAGCGCTGCTGCACCCAGTCTCAGCTCTTTAATCGTCGTCTACGTTGGGGAAGAGAATGTTGTCGTCGATGTCCAAAGGAGTTGACACTAAAGACAAAGCAGCCTCTAAGATTTCTTGTTCCATCAACTCCGCTTCAGTTAGAACTTCGGCAATACCTTCTTCGGCGCCTGCTGTTTCGACCTCGTCGGCTGGTTCACGAGCTTCTCCACTGTCAATACGTGCATCCCCACCTCCACTTTGTAGACCCGCCTTCATCACAAAGTCCGAGACCATGTGCTGCTCAAAACGTTGTCGTTGTAGAGGCGCCTCCATCGTCGCGACGGCAGCGTTGTGAGCTACGGCATCCTGCTCCTCGACCAACCCCGCTCCAAGACGGTTTCTCGCAGAAGAGTGGATACGCTTCCCCACCTTATGCTGACGCTCTACACCAGCCGTCGATGCTGGAGACGTGTAGACCTTCACTAACAATTCCGCCAGAACAGGAAATTTGCTTCGTCCTTGCGTCCAGATCTTTTGCGGGGGGAACTGGGTAATGCTGCTCCACTCAAAAGCAAACTCAGCTTCGGTGGTGCAAAACCGGAGGAAGTCATCAAGAGCTCGACGCTTCTGGTCTTGGTCTTCACGGCATACTAGTTCAATTGCAAACCGGCATTGAGCACAGATATTCCCTTTGCCAAGCTCAATAGGATCTTGTCCGTACAGCTTTGCGACAGCCAAACGAAAAGGATGATAAAACGGGTCGCAGTAGAATGCCAATGCGTGAACTGGGCTCTGAATGCGATTCCATCTGTGGATCAACTTCGTGAGTAGGGCGTCGCCAGGGGAAGTTTCCCGTGCATGGATGAATACATACACAAAACAAGCGTACGCAGTGAACATTGTGGCTGAGTTGCTCTCCATGACGCCGATGCATTTGCAAATGGGATCGAACACTTTGACGTGCCACGATACGTTACCCCAGAACTGCGGATCCATGACTATACTTGTAAACTCGCTTGGAAGTTGGTACGAGGGGTCAATGTTGCGCTCCACCTTTTCGTTCATCACAGCGGTCACAACCGCGGTCATCGGTCTCTTGACTTTTGGAAGACGCTGGAACATATAGTTTACACTGCTCCAACGCGATGCAGAGTACAACACCATTGTGTACTGCCGCTGAAGAAAATCGAAGCACAGACTCGAAAAAAATTTGTTGAGTAAGCCAGTATTTTTCACAATCTTGCTCAGGTAGACAGCGTTGCGAACAAAAGCTTTTACCCCGGGATTCTTCACGATGTCCTCACAGAAATTGTTGAGCGCATGAGCTCCACATCTGTAAGCAAAGGCAACAGAATTGTGATCTTGCAACGACTTGCGAACAGCCCTCATCAAGTTGCAACTATCCGATACGAAAGAGAACACAACTGGACGGTCGAGATAAGTGTGCATGCGAGTGATAGATTCTTCTACCTTCTTAGTCACCTCGGGCTCGATCTCTTTCTTCAGATCGGCGCGCAAGTACTCGACAAACCATGGTCTTGGATCATGTGCAATGACATTGGACAAACTCCTCGATAGAACATTAGTCGCGCCGTCCACACCAAGCGTAACTGCGGGGGACTCGCGCAACGCTCGCGCCACATCCAGCATGACGTCGTTATAGCAACTTGAAAGGAGTGTCGTAGATAGCTCGGAGGAAGATGGAGGCGACCATGGGAGGTGAAGCAGATCGAAAAAGTTTTTCCAAGCAGTATGATCAAACATACCGAACTCTGCTCCACTTTCGTGCATCGCCCTTGCAAATGATCGATCCAGTGCATCGCGCTCGTCCTTGCTATAGTGTTAATACACCTTTGCCTGCAGTTGCTGAGCCATAGATCGCAAAGCTTGGGCTCCTTCTGACTGACGCTCCAAATCCTCCACCAAAACGTTGTCTTCAAGTAGCATGCGCCCCCACCCACGCGATATCTTCTCGCAGTTGATGATATGGCGCTGCATATGTTTCACCATCGCAGACATGGTCGTAGTGCAGTGATTACACTTCACTCGCCGAGTCTTATACTTCCCCTTGGGATGATCCTTGAAATGAGACCACACACCTTCTTTGCGTACCCGACCCATTGATTGAAGAATTGGAAATGCCCAACGCGAAAGGCAAGCTTGGTTAGCCAGTCATTTAGTCCACTTGCGACGAGTTCCGAAGGACCATAGTGAAATGGCAACGTTGACAAAAAACCACAAAAAAACCGCAAAAAAACATTTTGAACCGAAATTCGATTTTTTTGCCGAAAAGATCAAAAAGACCGTTCCATAGTGCGCGAAAAAGGATGCGTATACGGGAACAACGACAACGATGGCAGCGGATACAACAGCTACGGATGACCATGACCACGGTGGCTCTGGTTACGATAGACAGTACGACGACCAAGAATACTACGACTACAATGGCTTCTGATACGTCGATGACTCTGGCTACGATGCATGCGTTTACGACAACGTTCATGACGGCTCCAGTCACGACAACTCTGTGGATACGACGCCTACCACCATGATGAACTCAGCCATGACTGTCCTAGCTACGGAAGAATACGACGACCCCGCATTCATCCCACTAGGGTCTACGTATGACAAAGGATACGAAAACTTTGTCCATGATTACTAATACGGCCACAACCGCTTTGCCGATGCTGACTACACCGTCTGACTACGGTGTACGAACACGATGACTCAGGGTACGGCCACGATCTTCATACAGTGATCACGTTCGCCTCGACGGTTTTCTCCGAACTGATGTCGCTGCTGCCTCCGTCCACCAGGCATTCGCATGAAGTCTACATGATTCCATACAACCCACGACAGCACGCACCAAGGTACACTTGGTCTTTTTCAATGACGCCGCAGAAGCCGCAGGCTTGATGACTTTTAGACACTACTGTGCTTTTCTCCACGACAAAGACAGCAGTGGCATCCGTTGGTCTGTCAGCCATGCATGCTATTAGTACAAATGATTTAGTCTCTACGCAGCGTCGGCATTAATGATACCGACAAAGGACACACAGGCACGCGACGCAAGCTGAGAGCCTCAGCTACAGCTAGTTAGCCTGCTGTACGGAAAGCTTCGATCATCCCGAGGACTGACATAAAGACAAGATACTGGCCGAGAAAGATTGCACCGTGGACGTATGCTGCCAACCTGTCACACGCTGCGACTTGCAGTGCAACAAAGGATGTGAAACATGGTAACGGCAACGACGACATCTAGGGGCATCGAACATGAATGACTGAATGGCAGCATGCTCAACGAATTGATGACGGGTGAACTCGGGTTCACGATGTGCCACCCTCATTTAACGTAAACGCCCCGTAACAGGAAAGACTTAGAGGGGAGGGGGGCTACAGATTGGCTAGGACGAGTTTCTTGTTACATGTATTTTCTAACAGTTTTACAAAACACAGTCCTGTCGGGACATTCAGTTTGTTTTGTAGCATTATGATTGGTCATAGCCTTAAGAATAGGCAGCTGTACCAATGATTGGTGCTGACGGAACGAGCAGTCACGAATCCTCACACACTCAAGGAACTTCGGCTTTTCTCATTCATTGGCCTAATATTTTATTATTCATGTAGTACATGTACATGTACTACATGAACAATATAATATTGGACCATTGATTACCCGACGGTCGACTTTTACTTGAGCTTCCGTACCGGTACTGTATCTGGTAACACGGTACGTATTAAAAACAGTAACGTATCATAATCAAGCAGTTGGACACTTCAGTGTCATACTGTACTGTGGTGAATTTACGGTAAATTTTTACAGTCTGTAAAACTCGAGTACCATTAATACATGTCCTACTGTAGAGGCATACACGTATCATAATACAGATCCCTGTGCATGTAAACTTTGAGCTGTTGAATATGAAGTTTACATGTTTGTTTTCCACCAATGCCTCGTTGACCTCCATTGTGCACAACTTAAAGTTGTGCACAATCAAACAGATGGAAGGCACGATTGGTGCTTCACAGAACCAAGTCGATACCCAAGCGCAAAATAAGGCGCCCAGGTAATATTGTACCTGTAATTACTACAGTACCTTGACCTTCAATATTTTTAAGTGTCTACACCATTTCCCGGCCAAGTTACCAGTTTTACCAACCATCGTGCAAATGGCCCGTTCTTGTGAGATCTAATTTAAGGCTGTGTGGAGACACTCCATTGTTAATTTTAGGCTACGGCATTTGGCGATTTGCAAGAAAAAGCCACTTTTCCCACGACTTGCATTTCTGCCCATCACACTTTTCAAGCAGGTTGCAAACCTGGTCAAATACATAGAGCCTACGTTACCGCATCAAAGGGCACGGCTCATGCTGCTTCAAGAAATGAAGCCCTCCAACACATTTTTATTACAGGACAACTTGAATGATGCTAATACGGTACTGTGAATGCAGTAGTCGCTGTTTGGCTTTGTTTGTGCTTTTTTTCTTCTCTGAATAAGGGGTACCCTCGAAGCGTCATAATAGTAGCGAATGTACTACAGTGCGAGCAAATGAGCCGTAACCTCTCGGGGCTATCCAATCGGCAGTGCATACAGAAATTGCGTGAAAGGCCACAACCGCGTACGCAATCCGTTAAGAGTTATTATCTGTCGTTGGACTCGTCTGTGCGTTTGTAGCGACGGGGCTCACAATCACAGATGCCAAGGAGCCTCTTTGGCTCCATCCCCGTCAGACTGACCCAACGTACACTCACTTGTTATGACCGATTCGAGATTTTTCACTTCTTCATAATCACTCAAAGAAGAACAAGGTACCGCGCACTCGACACCAATGAACGACTACGCTCTTCAGCCTCCTAATAGCCAGCTCCTCAGCGACCGTGTGATCGGAGGCGTCGTAGAGCGCTCCTGGTCTTCACAGAGATCCATCGCGCCCCAGATCTCGGCAGAAATCAGACCTGGGACTTCGGTTTACCGAAGCCAGCGTCCAGGTGTGCAGGGAGAAAGAGAATTCTCCTTGAAAAGAACATCGAGAGGACCATGGGAGACACACCGAGACACGGCATCATCACTCAAATCGGTGCCAAACCTCCTGACCACTGAAGACCAATATCTAGCCTTCGCTAAGATCGCGATTTCGGAGAAAATACGGCTACGAGAGCTCCGGCGGATGCGGCAGGTTCGATATCGGAAGAAGAAGGAAAACTATGTGACCAGGATGGACGAGGAGGCCGCTCAACTGCGTCAGGAGATCGAGAAGCTCGAACAGCGCAGACGCTCTCTAGCTACTGGAGTCCCGACGGAAATGAATGTGTGGAGTGTAGTAGCCGAGTTCTTTCGACTTTTCCGCTACGGTATGCCTGAGCCTCCGTTCGAAGCTCAGTCGGAATCACAGTCCGAGGCTCAACTCGAGTTTATAAGGACGTCGTTTACCGCCGACGTGGCGTTTAACGCTTCCTACGGTGTCGACAAGATGATAGAAAACTGGCAGCAGACGTCACGATGGTTTCCAAGTATCGAGGTGGAGCTGGAAGGACTCGACAAGGGTCCAGCGGGGTCTCTGGTTGCTACAACGACCACTACGATCTCCATCTCAGAGCAAACACTTGGCTCGGTTTTCCCTCATCTTTTATATCCCCGCGACACGCTAGCTGATACACTGCTCGACCAAACTCTTACTATGCAGGGCTCAATGCATTTCGAGTGGGACGACTCATGTCATCGGATCACTAGAGTCACGAGTCTGTCGGACATGCTGACACCGATGCTGCATTTCCTTGGAGGTCTGGAAGAAGTGGCACGAGTGTTTCAGCAAGCCGCCGTTACCCCAGACTTGCAGGCCAGGAGGATGCAATGCAAATTTACTTTACGCTAGTTGCTCGTAGTGACGAACTCCAAACGGCACAACCATTAGCAGGTCACCGAAAATGGGTCGGAAATGGTTTCATAAAAATAGTACTACAGTAGTATTTTACTGAAATGCATCCATCAGTATACTACGGTATTAATAAAGCTTACTCGTGGCTAAAAACAAACAAAGACGCCGACGAGTCCATGACTGTGCATGTCAGCTAAATGGACCGTCGGGGAATCCTACTTTGCCTTGAGAAGAGAGCCCCAGCAATGTGAAAACCGAATAGGCTCTGAGCATCGTTTAAATGGCTTGAGGATTTGGCAGCAAAGGCTTGGTGGGAATACCAGATCCGCTCGTATATGTAACTTGCATGGAAATTGATAAGATAGATAAGGTGAGTGGCATGAGACGTAGATTTCTGATAAAGGTGAGCTGTGTATGCTTTTTGAATGATATGCAGACAACAACTATTGATGATACTAAGTTGATGTCGAAAAGAGAACAAATGCAAATGGTCGACCTCAACGAGGGACATAAGAAATGGGTTTGACAATACTTATGGTATGTGGTAAAAGAAGAGAGAGATAGTGGAAGAAGATCTGCTAGCCACCACGTCGAGGCGCTAAAAACTGCTGTCTACGCCAACTACTACTGCCGATTAAGGGCCTTATCCTTGAGAGTATTTAATAGGGGTAGTCAGAGCTACATTCAGATCAATTTTCAAATCAAAACTATCGGCCTATCGGGGACCTCCAACTCTCCCGTTTAGATTGTCATTTCAGATTATCAGTAAGCCCCAGATGCCGCGAATCGCTCATGGTGAGCGCCTACGTCATGAATTGGCTACGGCACTTGCCGCCACAGGAAATACCCCGAGAAGCCTCGGAGCTTTAAGAAAAGTGATATATAATCGTTTCTGCTGAAGGTGTTTGAACACTAGAAAGCTCTAGATATGCTTACAATGTGTTTCCTCACGAGCCTCTCTTTTAAGCTCGATCTGCAGTCTCTCTCCTCAAGATCCATCAGCTTTGCGTTGGCTTTATCACGCGTTTGCTGGCTTGCCTCTCGTATCTTTGAAATACCCCACAGCGTGTCCCCGTGCTGCGTCTTATTGCTTGAGCCCTCAGTGTTACTAAGTGAACGCTTTCTATATACCTCACTGTGTGGACTGTTGGATACCGTCTCTGTCGCACAAGGCAAAGCTTACACTAGTGCATGAATTTATAGAAGGCAGGTTCCAGAAGCCGCAGGAGTTCGTGGCTCACCGCTACAAACAACACTAGCTAGGTTAGATGATCAGCTACACCACACAATACATGTTGCTTTCTTTAGCTAACTGGTGACCACAAAGTATACGTTTTGGACGTACCAGAAGCCGCGGCAAGAAAGAAGTGGGCGGGACGACCTCTGCAAGACAAGTCGATCTGCACGGCGTGGAGCCAAAGCGCAAATCGATCTAAGCTAAAGAACGCAATGGCGGTCGATTCAGATGGTGATGTTGAAATGACAGTACCTCATCCTGTTTTTGACGTGGTTCAGCCGCCGAGTCTCAGCGAGTGGGACCAGGCGTCACTGGTATTGTGGTGTAGCGGGATCAGCAAAGTCTGCGAGATTGCTGGATCCAATTTACCAACAGCGCCCAGACACCGACTAACGGAGGGGGTCCCCCGATGATCCGTGTTCTGCTGAGCTTTCCTCATCTTGTGTACCCGTCGGTAGGGCGGGATCTTGCTCTTTCGGTAACTCCGAAGGGTTCAAGTGGTGAAGCTTGAGTGTCTGCGAGACGTGAGATGGGGTGGAGCAGCAGTGGTAAAATCTTCACTCTGTGTCCGTGGTTGGTTCTGGATCCCTAAGCAAATATTCGAGCTTAAGCGGATCCAGGGCCTAGATCGTGGATCTGGTCTTAGGGTTGCCTTCCGGGTGTGCTCCCTTGCCTTTGCGTTTCCTTTGCGTTGTACTTGCCGCCTCCTGTGACGGGATCTTGAGTGTTGAGAGCTTTAGGGTCAACCTGTCGGATCTGCAAATGTAAAGGAAAGCTTACTAGGCTGTAGGATCTGGCCAATGTATTATCCAGCTATCACTACCAACACTAGATTCGCAATTCCCAACCTTCACCGAGCTCGTACGGCCAATGTAGCTCCGATTCTTGATGGGAGGAAGGCACTTGCGTGATACTGTGCAAATTGAGGTCTGTATTGATACTTATGCCTATACCTGCCTGGATTTCTATCTTCTATGTCTTTTACCTGCTTAATCCCTTACCAGGCTCGGCTGCATGCCCTTTCTCTCCTTGATTCATCATCCTAGCTGTGTTAACATCAGATCCACCGGATCCATGGCGTAATCATTATGGTCGTCACATTATGGGTACACTTGTCCGGATCCAGGCCACCCTAAGCCACCTCACTGCAAGTGTACACTCGTCATGGATCTGAGCCCATCAATCTCCCAACATTTCGTACGACGGGTTGTGGTCCTCCTCACGCCACGAAAGTTCGAGATCCACTACCTCCATCATCCCTGTATCCCGGATCCAGGTC